AAGTGAGAAAGAGACGGTAGAGATTAGAGAAATGAGTACCCCCAACAATACAGTTAGTTCAAGGAGTATGAAAACAGAAGCAACAAAAAAAAAAGCCACCTGAAACATGTGAGCGGAGGAAGGAAGGGAAAGGAAGATGTGAAAAGAGAGAGTGCACACACATGAGAAGGAAAGCACACAGATGAAAGAAAGAAAGTGGAGGAGGGAGAATTGTTAATTATGGACAATTAAATCTATCCAGTAAGTCTGAGATTTGATCATAATGGTTATACAAATGAAGTAAGACAAGAGTAAACCTTACAGATAAATAAAAGATTAAAAACAGCAAATTAATCTTCCAAATTCTATGAAGTAAGCATAAATTATAATACACATTGATTATACAAGTGTCCTTTAAAACGTACTTTTAAACTTCAACTACTGTGTGATAAAGGTAATCTAAATAAAACTGATTTGTTGGTTCATGAACTTGGAATTAGAAAGGTTCTGGCAATTTCAGAACAATACTTTTTTTTCCTCTACATAAATTTCATTGTAGCAAAGAAACATATTCAGAACATCCTACTTATTTTAAATTTGATTGAATAAGGGAAGTAATGCATGTCACTTAGGAAATGGGCAACACTTAGCCCAGGCCTAAAGGACGGCTAATTCTAGTTCTATTCTTTGTTATTCTCTAGAGCCTAGCTTAAATCCCACTCTTTTCATGAGAACTTCCTCAACTGTCATTACCCACACTGTTTTCTCTATTTTCTTAATTTGTATAATTCTTAAAGGAGCTAGTATAGGACAGTGGTTGAGACAGGGGTTGTTGTCATACTGCCCATGCTATCAACTTACTTACCATGTTAATCTAGGCAAGCTGGTTAACCTTGATAAGACTTGGTTTCTTATTTTGTAAAATAAGAATGATAAAAAGATGTCTAGGCCGGCCCCGTGGCGTAGCGGTTAAGTGCGTGTACTCCCCTGCTGGCGGCCCGGGTTCGGATCCTGGGCGCGCACGGATGCCCCACTTGTCAGGCCATGCTGTGGCAGCGTCCCATATAAAGTGAAGGAAGATGGGCACGGATGTTAGCCCAGGGTCAGTCTTCCTCAGCAAAAAGAGGAGGATTGGCATGTATGTTAGCTCAGGGCTGATCTTCCTCACACACACAAAAAACGATGTCTACTATTAGAGTTGTTGTGAAGATTGAGACCATGTGTGTAAAGATGTTAGCACCCTGCCTTGCATATACTACGTGTGTAATTAACGTTAGCTATTGTTGTTAGCCTTTGCAACTATACTGTTGCCCCCTTGATTCATATGTGTTCTGTCTCTTCCTAGAGTGCCCTCAAATTAGTAGATGCCCAGTTAAATATTTACTTGTGGGGGGTGGGGGTTGGTTAGGATGAAGGAAAAACTCTAATAGTAAGAGATCATGACTTGGGGCTTCCACTATATATTCTGTAAGGGAAATGGTAGGATTAGACTCTACAATGGTGATGACCTCCAGGTGATAGCTGTGTACACAGTAAGCAGAGTGTGAGAGGTAGTAGAAAGGATTAGAAGAAGGAGGGACATTATTAGTGCTGGCAATGGGAGTTGAAAGATTTGGGGATAGTAGAATAGGTTTGTTTATACCATGAAGTAGCAGGAATTAAAGGCCGAATACCAGGTTGAATTGTGAGGATGTTGGTAGAAGCATTGTTAAAACGGTTTTATACCATACCATCTACTGATAAAGAGAGTCATAGTGGTAGGACACATTTGGAGGTCATTTGTTTGTAAATGACTTTTTAAATTTATGGTCTGCACTTTGTATGCCAGCTTCAAGCTCAGAAATCAACCCATGAAAGGAAGCTTTAGTTTCACCTCCTCTGCCTTTTCTTGTTCACTGGAGAGAATATTTAAACAAAATTGGAAAATTGGAAGGGATGACAACCCAATCAACCATTATTTAAAATGGCATTTCCCAGAATAATTGATTCTTCTCAGGACCCTTCAGAAATGTATACTTATGTGACTTATAGACACATAGAGGCATATAGAAAATGGTAACCATGAGATAGAGGAATTTTTAGGGTCTAAATCTCCTAGAAGAAAAAAACAGAGTTTCTTTGAAAATAGTTTTCATGTCTTACTGTAAGAGAATGGGAGGTTTGTGTTTTTACTTCTTGGTCGTTTTCCCTGTAAGTTAGGACCAAGAAAGAGTAAGATTGCTACAAGATAGAGGACAACATGAAAACCAAAAGAGACATGGAGTTAGTGGTCCATCTTGTTATGAGACCATTTGAGGAGGAAGATAAATGGGTAATTGACCCCTTTTAGTTGGCTGAACTTTGGAAAGAAGAATTTGTTTATTTATACAAAAAGGATTAAGTTGTTGGTAAAAAGTATTTTTTAACCAGTCATGAGCAATTTAGATATTAGGAAGTGTGAAAGAGCCAACATTTGTTTAAGGATTTGGAAATATACTATATTTCTGTATAGATTATTTACTTTCATTAATCTCTTAATACACTATATATTTACATTATTATAATAAATATAAATATTCTCTAAGCTAATAATATGCCCATGTTCAACTTCTTTCAGTTCTTCTAATATGCTATATTTTCTCTCGTATCTAGGACTTAGTGCTGTGATATTTACTGAGGAGACTCTTACTCACCCTCCCTTCCCAATCCCATCCATATACTTTCTATAATTCCCTGCCAAAGCACTTAGTACTTTGTAGGAATTATTGGAATTTCTGGTAGGAATTAATGTTTATCTTGTTTACCACTGTTTTCCTGCAGATAGTCAATATCAATTTGTTAAATAAAATGAAAATATGTACCTGTTACTACATATAAATACTGATATATACAGGTGTATGCACACATATATATCTGCCTCATGTATAAAATGTTCAGGAAGTATTACTGAAATTCAATTTTCTGATTACTAGGATAAGAGAATGGAGTCATGTAATTAAAACATGCCCCTTGAGTTATTTTTATAGTAGTAATTTAAGGAGAAAGAAAAGGCAAGACATGAATAGACAAGTTCTAGAGAAGATAGGAGTAGATCACTGCAGTATTATTGACTATTCTGTATATCTATGTCCAGTATTCTAGTACACACTGTACAGAACACGAGAGATATAAACCCAGCTGCTCAAGGAAGCCAGTTGTCAAATTAAGGAGAGAGAAAAGGAGCTATTGATGACTTTGAATTTGGAGAGGTTTAAACAACTAGAATTCATATTTTTCCCCATTTCAGTTGTAGTCAGTGAACATCATTTGTGTGTCAGGGTAAATAATAGGATCGGTAGTAGGCGTGAAAAGGAGGTGATGTGTCCAGGAAGGATGTTGTGGTCCAAGTTAGAGCAGTGCCTTAAGACAAGCAATCCAGGGTGAGAATGTGCTGTTGAATTTCACAGATAATACTCACATTCTGTGTCAAGATTACTGTATTGACCTTGGTATCTATGTTAACTGGTATGTTGTCTTCTTCCAGTCTGCCTAGGACACAATGCCCAGCCATGGGTAGGAGGATAGTGTATCCAACCATAGGTAGGATAGGAGGATAAGATATTGAAACACTTTGAGTCAGACACACCTGGTTTTTTATCCTGGCTCTGCCATTTATTTTATAGTTTCTGTATCTACTGTAGTATTTATTTTTCAGTTATTGTCAGGATTAACTAAATAATCCATGTAAAGTATTTAATTAAGTGCCTAGCACATAGTAAGCACTCAATGAAAGTTTAACAATAAAGATTTCAGTATTGTCTCTATCAGCATTTGAATCGAGATCTAGGTCCCATTGCCTGAGATACAGACTCTTACACTAACAATATTTTACCCATTCTTGTTCTTGTTCTTGCACCCGTGATGTAAATGTATTTCTGAAAGCAGAGCTATTTTTCAGATATGATATATTGTGTCTTTATGAAAACACAACTTTACGTGATCTGTTGTCTACCTATCTCTCTGATCTGATCTTCTGGCATGCTGTTCCTTAAACACACCCAGCTTATTCACATCTCATAGTCTTTGTTCTTACTTTACCTCTTGCTTAGAATGCTCCAGAGAGCCCCATGGCTCACTAGCTGCACCTCATTTAGTCTCTTTAAATGTCACCTCTTTAGAAAAGGCCTTCCCTGACTATCCTATCTAAAACATTACTGTTTATCACTTTCTTGTCCTGCTTTATATTTCTTTGTGGCACTTCTCACTATCTTGTATTATTTTATACATTTATTTATTAATTGTCATTCTCCCTTTCTGGAATGTAAGTTCCCTCATTAGTCTCCTTCAGTGCCTAAAATAGTGCGAAGTAGGCACTCAGTAAATATTTGTTAAATGAATGATTTAAAAGTTTGGAGATTGTTAGACCTAAACAATAAAATTACTCTTTTTCTTATTATTATCATTTGCTAAGTTCAACAAATTTTTTTTTATTGTGGTAACATTGGTTTATAGCACTATATAAGTTTTGGGTGTACATCGTTATATTTCAATTTCTGTGTAGATTACATCAAGTTCACCACCCAGAGGCTAATTACAATCCATAACCATACACATGTGCCCTATCACCCTTTTGCCCTCCTCCCTTTCCCTCTGGTAACCACCAATCCAATCTCTGTCTCTATGTGTGTGTTTGTTGTTTTTATCTTCTACTTATAAATGAGATCATACAGTATTTGACTTTATCCCTCTGACTTATTTCGCTTAGCATAATACCCTCAAGGTCCATCCATGTTGTCACAAATGGCCCGATTTCATCCTTTTTTATGGCTGAGTAGTATTCCATGTGTATATATACCACGTCTTTATCCATTTGTCCCTTGATGGGCACCTAGGTTGCTTCCAAGTCTTGGCTCTTGTGAATAATGCTACAGTGAACATAGGGGTGCATATATCTTTATGCATTCAACAAACTCTAAAATTACTCTTTAAAGATTATTCTAGAAGTAGCTAAGTTGGGAAATCATACTGAAAAAATCTTAAATTGCAATTTCCTTTTCTTTTAGAAAAACACTGACTATGACGAGATGATAGGGAAATTGTCTCTTCGTAAACAGCGCTTCATGCAGTTTTCTTCACTGGAATATGAAGGAGAATATTATATGACACCACGAGACTTCCTCTTTTCAGTAATGTTTGAGCAAATGGAACGTGAGTTGTTTTTTGTTTCTTAAGTTTAAAAAAAAATCAAACATTAGAGCTGAGAAACCTGTTTTTGAGAATTGTTAACAACTTTTTTCATTTTAATTATCATCATTCTTTGTACCTTGCATTTACTTATTGTTTAGACTTTTCAGTCCTTGTGACATGAGTGTAGTTAAACTTTTGTATGTATTTTTCTGAGACATAGTTGTTATGTATATGGGTTTTTCTAAAGAGACAGGAAAAAATAGGTAAATTTTTAAATGTCATTAAATATGTTATTAATAGAATAATTAATTTATCCAGGATGTTAGTTTTTGGTGGTATTGATGTTTTAAATTGGGCAAAAAAAAAAAAAATGAAACTAGGTTAGAGCAATTAGGAGGACCATATAATGGAGTCATGATGCCATCAATAAAAAACCCTGAAAAAAAAAAAGCAAAAATCCAAAAGCTGTAATTACATAATTTTATTTCATAAACTGTCAACTGTTAGTTATTCCAAATGATGTCAGAAATTCTTAGTTTTATTACCTAAACTAGTCCCTTTTACTTTGAAGAGACTGATATGGCCCCATCCTCTGTGCCCTATGTTGCAAAGTGTTCTATGAAAACTTCTTGGCTTCCTTATACCTTTCAAAGTGTGTTGGAAGTACTGCCCTGTGGATAACTGTACAGTCATGCCTTGCTTAATGAGAGGATACATTCTGAGAAATGTGTCATTAGACAGTTTCATCGTTGTGCAAACATCATGGCAGCCATGTTATGGTGGCAACCCACATACAAAACAGAGGAAGATTGGCACAGATGTTACCTCAGGATGAATCTTCCTCAAGCAAAAAGAGGACAAATGGCTACAGATGTTAGCTCAGGGTGAATCTTCCTCAGCAAAAAAAAAAAAAGTAGTTTAGCCTCTCCAATATATAAAGAGCTTGGACATTGTTACTCCTGTCCTTGCAGCAAGAAAAAAGCTGAAGAACTGAAAATCAACAGCTCTTCTTAGCTCCGTCAGAGAATTGAAACCACAGGGCACACAGGCTTGTAAACTGGAGACAGGTAGATACAGAGAAACAGAGCTTACCTGGAGTAGAAACTGTCCAGAAACCACCACTGGTGCCCAGAAGCCACCACTGGAGCCAGCATCTGGTGGAAATATTTAAAGAATAATTGGCAAATTCTTAGAGTCTGAGCACAGATTGACTTGAGAGATAAAAACTTGTGAAGACCCAGCCATGAGGGGCCCATATACTTTTATGAGTTTTACCTGGAAGAGCCTCACCAGGTTCTCACAGGGAATATCAGAAAAATTCCCTCTTGCTTCCCTCGGGCAGGGGAAAAGTAACCATTTTGAAATACTTCTAGAGCATTCTCTCCTCCTTAACAAAGACCTGCTGAGAAAGGAAACTGTTTTACCAAAGGCTAACCCACTGTTGTTTTACCACAGCCTAACCAGCCTGGTGGAGGAATGGAAATACCCAACTCTAGCCCCCTCTAGCCTTCCTGTTTCACTTAAGAGGGAAAAAAAACACTGAAAGTACTTGTGGAGATCACAGCCCAGGGACACAGGCTCACTACCAGGCTGAGACCTAATCATAGGATTATAGAATACTTCATCTCCACCCCCCACAGCTCACTACACATCAGTAGGGCTCCTGTGTAACAGGGGAATATAGTTGAAAGAACTGCACCTTTCAGACCTTTGTAAGAAGTTTCTAGAAAAATAACAACAGACAATCACATAGAGACAGAGATTGGATTGGTGATTACCAGAGGGGAAGTGGGGATGGAGCAGGGTGAAAGGGATGATTAGGCACATGTGTGTGGTGATGGATTATAATTAGTCTTTGGGTGGTGAACATGATGTAATCTATACAGAAATCAAAATAGAATGATGTATGCCTGAAATTTATATAATGTTATAAACCGATGTTACTGCAATAAAAAAAAAAAAAAGTTTCTAGGGAAATGAAAACACAACAGAGAAGACAAAAACAAGGACACCAGAGGAATTTTAGCCTCTGACACCTACAACTACAGCATACAGTAAACACAGCCTGATTCTAGCCAGACAAACATAGAACCTCACACTAAAGGCCTGTCTATTTCAGTAACATTTACCTGGTACATCATATCTGGTTCTCAACAAAATAATCAAATGACATACTAAAAGGCAAAAAGCATTGTCTGAAGAGACAAAGCAAGCATTGGAACCAGATTCCAATATGGCAAAGATTTTGCACTTAACCAGACCAAAAATTTAAAGTAACCATGATTTATATACTAAGTGCTCTAATAGAAAATGTGCACAACATATAATAACAGATGGGTAATGTAAACAGAGATAGGAAGACTCTTAGAATCAAAAGGAAATGCTAGAAATAAAAAATACTGTAACAGAAATGAAGAATGCCTTTGATGGGCTTGTCAGAGCAATGCTCTGGGCCAAGGAAATAAGCAGTGAGATTGAAGATATGTTAATAGAAACTTCCCAAACTGAAAAGAAAAAAGAAAAAAGACTGGAAAAAACAGAAAATCCAAAAACTGTGGGACAATTCAAAAAGTGTACCATGCACATAAAGGCAATACCAGAAGCAGAAGAAAGAACAGAAGTATTTGGAGTATTCATGGCTGAGAATTTTCCAAAATTATCAACGAACACCATACCACAGAGTCAGGAAGCTCATAGAATTCCAAGCAGAATAAAGACCAAAAAATCTACACCTAGGCATATCATATTCAAACTGCAGAAAATGAAAGACAAAGAGAAAATCTTGAAAGAAGCCAAAGGGGGGGAAAAAGTCTTACCTGTAATAATATTGTGTGTCAATTATATCTCAGTTTGACAAAAAACAAAACAAAAAAACCTTACCTAGAGAGAAACAACAATAAGGATTACATTATACCTGTCTTTAGAAACCATGCAAGCATGAGAAGAGAAGGGTAAAATATTTAAAATTTTGAAAGAAAAATTCACCAACCTAGAATTCTATATCCAGTGAAATTATCCTTTAAACATGAAGGAGAAATAAAGAATTCCTCAGACTAACAAAAACTGAGGGAATTTGTCACCAGTAGACCTGCTTTACAAGAAATGTTAAGTTCTTCTGAGAGAAGGAAAATGATATAGGTCAAAAACTCAGATCTACATGAAGAAAATAAGAGTTGGAAAGAGAATAAAGGAAGATAAAATCATTTATTTTTCTTAATTCTTAACAGATCTAACAGATAACAATTTATTCAAAATAATAAGAGCAATAATGTATTGGATGATTATAGCTTATGGAGAAGTGGAATAATGCATGATAGTAGTACTATAAGGAACAGTTGGAGAAATTGGGAATACTCTGTTATGTTACCTGCACTACACATGAAGCAGGATAATGTTATTTGAAAGTGGACTTAGGTTAGTTGTAAATGTATATTTACAAACTTTAGGGAAACCACTAAAAAAAATTAGAGAAATATTAATTGGTGTGCTAAGAGAAGAGAGGAAATCAAATCTTACACAATGCTCAACTAAAACCAGCGAAGGCAGAAAAAGTGTAAGACAAGGAGGCAAAGAACAAGAACAATGAAGAGGAAACAGTTAAAAATAGGGTACATATTAATCCAACTATATCAATAATCACTTTAGATATGAATAGTCTAAATACACCAATTAAAAGACAGATGTCTTTTATATATGTTATCTACAAGAAACTCACTTTAAACGTAAGGACATAGATGTGAAAAAAGGGGATGGAAAAGATACACCATGTTAACACTAATCAAAAGAAACCAGGGATAGCTATATTAATTACAGACAAACCAGATATTAGAGTAAGGGAAATCTTCAGGGATATAGAGGGGCATCATATAATGATAAAAAGGGGCGGTTCTCCAGGAGGAGGTAACAATCCTTACTGTGTATATGCCTAACTACAGAGCTTCAAAATACAAGAGGCAAAAACCGATAGAACTGTAAGGAAAAATAGACAAGTCCACTATTATACTTGAGACTTCATCACCCCTCAGTCAGTAATTGACAGATCCAGCAGACAGAAAATCAGTAAGGATATAACTAAACAGCACGATCCTTCAACTGGATCTAATTGACATTTATAAAATACTTCATCCAACAACAGAAGAATATACATTCTAATGCTAACCTAGATAATTCACAAGGATAGACCACATTTAGGGCCATAAAACACACATAAACAAATTTATAAGAATAGAAATCATACAAAGTATGCTCTCTGACCATAATAGATTAAACTAGAAATCAATGAAAGATAACTGGAAAATCTCAAAATATTTGGAGATTAAACAGCATACTTCTGAGTAACACATAGGTCAAACAAGAAATCTCAAAAAAATGTTTTAAATATTTTGAACTAAATGAAAATTAAAGGGAAAATAATAGCATTGAATGCATATGTTAAAAAGAAGAGGGCCAGCCCAGTGGTGTAGAGTTTAAGTGTACGTGCTCCACTGCCACGGCCCAGGGTTCGGATCCCGGGCGCGCACCAACACACTGCTTGTCAAGCCATGCTGTGGCAGTGTCCCATATAGAGTGGAGGAAGATGGACATGGATGTTAGCGCAGGGCCAGTCTTCCTCAATAAAAAGAGGAGGATTGGTGACAGATGTTAGCTCAGGGCTGATCTTCCTCACAAAACAAAAAAAAGAAGAAAGATCTAAAATCAAATAGTCTAAGCTTCCTCTTTAGCAAATTCAAAAAAGAAGAGCAAGTTAAATCCAAAATGAGCAGAAGAAAAGAAGTAATAAAAATTATGGCAGAAATCAATGGGAATCGTAGGATATATACTAATTTCCCTCCTACTTGGTAAGCCTCGCTAGAGGTTTATAAATTTTATTTATCTTTCCAAAGAACTAGCTTTTGGTTTCATCGATTTTCTCTATTTCCTGTTTCTCATTTCATTTAGAGGGCAAGTTATAGCTATAAATGCCTGTATTAATAAAGAGAACCGTCTCGGTAACCTAACTTCTCACCTAAGGCACTGGAAGA